TTTTTTTGAGAGGAAATTTTGGAATGTTCATGTAAACTATCCTCAACAAGTTCAAAAAATGAGTTTTAAATTTATGAGACTTCAATCAGATTGACTGAAAAATACACTTTTTACCGAAAATACTGATTGTATTACCATTAGTCAGTTACCAGTTCAGACATGAATTGTCAGATATTTTGAGAAGAATAGGAACCAAGGATCCACAAAATGTGAAATTAACTACGAGAAAGTAATGAACTGAATATAAGGACAAGAAAATTAATTTTTAAGTGACAGGGTCTCACAGAGATTGTTTGTTTTTAATGGAAAATCAGCACTTTTTCCTGCCGCATTTTATAGCTTTATTTTGCTATGTAAATTTAACATGAAATGAAAACAATCTACATCTTTAATAAGCTAGTTAGAGATGATTTAAAAAAAGTCCAACACATGCAATTTGTTTGAATCATCAAAGGTTTCAATGAAAATCAGACACAAGCTATTTTTATTCATTTTTTCATTCTTTTCAAGCAAACAAATAGAGAAAAAAAATTGGAGAAATTTTTAAACAATAAATTTTAATTAAATATGTTAATTACATTTAATTAATAATGTTTTGAATTCAAAAGGCAAATACGGCCAATGTTAACTTCCTTCCAGTCATTGAAATTATTCAATGGTGACAATCTTGCTCGTAAAAATATTAATTGTAGCGTAATTTAGTTTCTAAAACTAAATTTCTTTATTATTCAAGTCTTTTTTCCCCATTCAATTGTTTCTCAGAAGAAAAATAGGCATTCCATTACTTAATTTTATAGAAGAGCATTTCAAAGGCACTTCATTCCCTTGTATGTAAATGGACAATGTATTGCTTTTACAACTTCTAACTTAATGTCTTATGGATTTAGTTCTTAATATCAGCAAAATATTCTTATTTTTTATTGCTCTATGGTAGCAAGTTCTTCCCATAGATATATTTTTTGTACATGCTGTGATTTTATTTCTAGTTTACCTTCTCCCTTTTGTTATTTTCAGGCCAATATTTCACTTACAGTTTTATAACAGCAAATTATTGAATTCATGTATTTTATGTATACATCTTTCTACAATCAATATCTAATGAACAACTGAAGAAGTACACAAAACATTTACAGTTTGTTTACTTGTCTCTTGTGTATAAATAGCTATTTTGCTGAAATTATGTTTTGATAGTCCCCAAATACAAAATGAAACCCAAATAATGGTCCAATTTAATATTAGACAATAACTTGGTGAATACAAAAGATTATTTATAGATTTAAAGATTCTTAATGGGACCTGCACAAAGAGTGAAGTTAGAACTAAGAAGAAAGAATGAAATTAGAACTAATGTATTAGAATATCACATTTCAGCATAAAAATGAACACAGTGCTCTTTCCCTCTGGGTACAACATTGTTTTATGAGGTTAATTTGGTTTTAATAAAAAAACTTCATGAACACTTCTCAGTTTTGATTTACTGTATAAGTTTCATGCTGCAATGAAAAGGTTGCCTATCTACACCAATGAAACTTGGTAAGTTGTTGGACTTTGAAGAGACTGTATAGCAATGATTACTGTCATTTCTATTGTCCTTAATCCTCATACATGTGAAGATGATGTTTTTCCAATTTTTTTTTCTGTTGAAAATTCAGTAAGTAGGCTAAGATGATCCAGTTCTATTTACAATATAATTCTTTCCTGGAAGAATAGACGAATGGGAGATAAGAAAGGAGGACAATGTCATAGGAAGAGGAAACCGTTTACTCTAGAAACCATATATAGAATATTTTTAAGTAACTTACTGGCAGATCAAGATAAGAGTCATAACCAGTGTTTGTCAGCTGTAACCTTTGTGCTATAGAAGAAAACTTGTAATTAGATAAGCCCAACCATTTTTGTCTATCTTTCGATTGTATTTAACCATTTTTCAGTAATTATCAAATATATTGTTGCCTATAGTTTTGAATTACTCATATCAACATAAAAGTTGCTCTCTCTAAATACCATAATTGTTTCTTTCAGTTTCCCACATGTAACATGAAACAATGTTGAAGAGATCTAAGAATAACATATAGGTATTAAAGTAATCTATTGGTACTATCACTGTACAGAACACTCTTCCACAGGAATTACTTTGCAAGGAACCATTACCTTGCTAAAGCTTCACCCAGGATAACAACTTCCAGGGAAATGACCACACAGTGTAGTTGAATATTAAATATATATAAAATTCAATTGAACAGTCTACTACATTCAAACATCACGCCATTATCCCTCATCAAATTAATGATATTGAGGTATATCTAAATAAATCCCTCAAGTTAAAAAAGAAATCATTTTGATGACTGATATGCTGCATTCTAATGCCATTTGTTTACCAATAAAGAATATTACATAGAAAAATAAACTACCTGTTACAGGAAGCATGGATGTTCACAGAACAAGAAAGGATCTTAACATTCAGAATACAATAGTTATAATGTCAAATTGACTGATATAAACACCAGTATGTTGTCAACTTGGTTTGGAATATGTCTGACATTTGCAAATAATTAATCCTTACCCCCCACCCTATCCTCCAAAACAGTTGGTAACTAAGCTGCACAAAATAATTTCAACACATCAATGCCTTCCATACAATGATGAAACATTGTTCAAATGACATGTAATTGATTTGGACAGTATTATTTTACATTACTCAGCATTTAGCATATGAAATAAATTTACAAACAAAAAAGTTCAAAATGCTATTTTGATTAATTGTCTTTTTTGGAGAAACAGGTTGTCTTATGAAGAAGTCTCATATAATTACACAACTTAAAAACTATGAAAAACACCTTAAAACAATGTTTTTCAGGCAAAATACTATATACTGCTATTTTACTACAGAGGCACAAATGGTAGTTTAACATCATAATATAGCAGAATCTAGGTACTTCAATGAATGTTCAAAGGTGCCTTTAAATATGTACAACTTTCTAGTGTATTTTTCTTAACTTTCTTCTGCAGTCATTTAAATTTAGAGGAGACTTTTTAGAGAAGTTCTTATGATAATATAACATGCCAATAAAACTAGCACTCAGATTAATGAGGGTTTATTTTTAGTGCTTATGTAACAAAAGTTGCTAATGTCAATCTCAAAAATATAAGATAATATACTCTACAAGCTCAAAATTCGTTCATTAGCACCTTGCTGTATACACTTAAGGGAGCATTTTTCTTCTTATTTTCATCTTATGTTGAGAAAAATCATACACCTTTACAGTGAGTGAGAGTAAATACAAACTGCCACACTGGCCTTTCTAAAACTTATTAAGGCTGTATGCCCAAGACTTCATTAAAACCAAGGAGGCATTTCTTCAATAACATTGTGTACATGTCAGAAAAAGTGGAAAATGACTTTTGCAATGACGGGGACATGTGACATGCTCACCATGGGCGACTACCTTGAGGTGGCTGTTGTTGCTGCTGGGGATAAGGGTAACCAGCAGGCCAAGCTTGGGGTTGAGGAAACGGGTAGTATCCTGAAAGAATATCACATTACAAAGTATATGCTATGTAATAGAATATAATACAGAAAGAATAAACTGAATTTCACACCAATGAAGTAGTCTTATTTTTTCGTGGCCTCCATTGTTTTGTTAAGTTATGGTTCTAAACATTTGAATAAAAAAAACAGCAATTTGGCTTCTAAAATATCTTTGTAAGATGAAATATGAACTCTCACAAACAAACAAAAAAAGCAACACAAATAATGAAATGCACACTAATTTCTATTACCTCTTCTAAAATTTGATTGAAGGCAAATTATTAAAGGAAATTTTCTTCAAAAAGGGGAAGACTCTTGAAAAATAGTACATAAGAAAGTAAAAATTGATAGAAATAACAAATTACAGGCAGTTACAAAAAAGCTCAGTTAATTCAGTAATGTGTTACAGAACTAATTGAGCAAAATAATATAATGAATAATTAGTACAGCATGAAGAAAAAAGATGCAAAGATTTCTTGGGTTTGAAATACCTAAGACATGAAGATGACAAAGAGATCTTCCATACATCAGTTATATTTTTTAGTTTTAGTATTTTATTGTGTACTATTAAAAATGTATCTCTAATCTCATCGGACAATTGAAATATGTACTATACTTATTCCATTAAAACACATCATTTCCTTTAAACTTCGAGGGACTTAATAGTGAAGGGTTGAATCCACTTGAAGAAAGCTCAAATTCGCAACAAGTTGCAAAATCAGAGAAATTATGCAACACAATGATGCTCCAGAAGCAACAAATAACTAATGGTGTGGAGAACTACTGTTGCCAGAAAAGTAATCACTATTCTGGCAACAGTATGGTCATATTTAAAGAAGTTCTTCATAATTTTCATTCTCTCTTCAATATTTTTCTATGTATTCTTCAAAAAGTGTATTTCATTTTCACAATATTCACTAATACAATAAATTTAAAAAAATCAATATATTGTCAACGACAATGAGGACATTTTAAATCATTCCTTAGGAAGTTCAAACATCAGTTTTTCTCAAATTTACTCTTAATAGTGCACCTGAAACTTCTGCAAACCCTTTTCCATGAGAAGATATTTACAGTTTCTTCTTGCTTATTATTAGACTTTTAAATATATTATTAGTGATACTAACATATTTCTTTGAATATAAGGCACTCTTTTTAGGATTTGGATAGTTGAAATTAAAATTGCAATTTACAGATGTTGTGTTGTGTAATGGTGTTCATTTCCAAGAAATTTCATTGATTCTATTTCCACAAATGTATACAAATTATTTTTTTCTCGGAGCTCAAGCAATGATTAGGGTGTCCCATGGATTTCAGAATCCTTAGATCTGAAGAAACAGTATTATTTTAACAATTGTTATGTAATTCAAAAAGGGAACTTAAGTATTTTATAATTCTCTCTTTCAAAGCATTTCAAAGGTAAACTGCTCAGGTTGTAGTAATAAAGATATCAGAAATATATCAATACATTGAAAAGCAAATATCTGTAAATAAAAAAGAAAATAATAATAATAACAATAATAATAATCATAATAATAATAATAAAAAGGGTAATACCCAGAAAAATAATATTACAAATCTGAAAGTAGAAAACAACACTCTAAAACAGTTGTGGGTTTAGGAGGAAACAAAAAAGATGAGGTAATTACGTTAATGGTTTATTACAACAAATAATTGAACATATGATACTATTAAAGCAATATGAAAATTAAAAAATACAACTAAGAAAAATAAGCTTGTAAAATTTGAGCATGAGAATTACACAAAACACAGCTCTAATCTCATAATGAGAATCACATCTGTGCAGATAGCTTAAATGCTTCTTTTCCATACAACTGATATGGTTAAAATATAAAATAAACTGCTTTGAATGAATAAATTCTCTCTTCGAGAAATAGCGAGTTCAACACAAACACACATAAAATAGAAACTGAGGCAATATATGTTGAAATAACATATGCATTATTGATCTTTTTGCAGAAAGTGACATCTTACTTCAATATTTCATATCTCATTCCAGCACCATAGTAAGTCAACTTTAATTTTAAAATGTAATATAATAAGGAGGAACCTTCTAGTCTGTCCTCCCCAACTACCTACAATATTTCCTCCTCCTAGCCTACAATATTTCAGTCTTATAATTACAATATCATATTCAATTGAACAACTGAACTTTTCAAAAGCAGATTTGACAGTATTGTTCTGCAAAACATTAAATCTACAAACTGATTATATGGATGTTCTTGTGATTAATGTTCTTGTGATTAAAATAGCAGATCTTTATAAACATTTTGATAGAACCACACTGCTTATACAAGATAAAATACATCAGATCCTTTTTCCCCATGAGATATATTTGAGGATTTTTTCAAGACAGACAACATGTTTCAGGTCGAGACTCACCTTGCTGAGGATATGGCATTGGAGCCCCTCCATAAGGGTTGTAACCAGCTGGCATTGGGGGTGGCACATATGTGGGGTATGGAGCTCCTGGTGCAGCTCCGTAGGGAAGAGGCATTGCACCAGGGTAAAGAGGATAGGGTGGGGCAGCCGCTGCAGCAGAAGCAGCAGGAACTTCAGGCTGCACTACACTAGCTGGTGCTGCAGGGGGCGGAGGCCGGGGAGGAGGAGCCTTCCTTGCATCTGAAAAGAGATAAACCCACATGCTATTTCATACAGGTCCTTATTCACAGGCAAATTCAACAAGACTAATCCATATAAAGCTACAAAAAACAAACAAAAAAACAACATATACATACACACATACACATATACACACATACATACACATATACACACATACATACACATATACACACATTACACATACATATACACACATACACACATACAACACATATACCACACATACATACACATAACATTACTGTAGCCGTCCACGGCTTGACAGCAGGCAAGCCTAGTGCAAGGTAGAGGCTGGGGGGATCTAAGATAGACAAAAGAAGGACTTTCCGAAGGAAATGGCGCGGGCCAGCCCAGCGCCAGGGAAAAGGCTTTCCAAACCCGCCGCCCCCGGGGGGTGGCGGAGTAGTACGTAGGAGGTCAGGTGACCTGGACCTATAAAAACCTGCGGCGAGACGGTAGCGGACGCTGGTAAACGTTTTCTGCGTTTCCTCGAGGCTAGACCACAAAACTTTGTCCGCCCAGCGCTGGTGCGGATGTGCGGAGTGCCCGCAGGCAACCGTGGTTGTCGACGAAGTTCGGAAGGGTGATGTGTTCTTCAAGAACACATTCGGGCAGATCGTCAATCTGCCGGGGCACACCCAGGTGCCAATCTACGACCACGGCCTTTGCCGGGTGCTGGTCGTAGGCATCGGCCGCTAGGCGCACGTAGGGAGAGAGGGCTGCAGTGGTAGCTCTGGCCAAACCGCCTTAGAGTGAGAGTTGTAAATATGTTACCAGTGTGTAAAAAATAAAACTTGTATATACTCACTCATGTCTGTTTCCTTGTGGTGTAGATCACTACACACGACGTTACATTACACATACATATACATACATACATATACATACATACACATACATACATACACATACATACATACATATACATACATACATACACATACATACATACACATACATACATATACATACATACATATACATACATACATACATATACATACATACACATACATACATATACATATATACACATACATACATATACATATATACACATACATACATACATATATACACATACATACATACATATACATACATATATATAGATCTTTAAATCATTTCATGTTCACTTATTACAAAATTATTAGTAGTTTTCTTTTATTTTATGTAATACTGAAACAGTATTACATAAATGTTCTCAATAATTCATGAAAATACATGCTGTTCCAACACCACTAGTTTTGAAATTTCAAATCTTTAAATCTATCTAACATTGAATTCAGTGTATTCTACTCTATGTGTACAAAAAGATTTAAGAAAAAAATTGTCTCAGGGTGGATTTGAGCCACAGCATAGTGGTCACAAAACAAGAGGCAGTACAAATGCTAAGCATAGTTCAGAAACACTTGATTTATAATAATAAAATAAAATTAACGGTTGCAGTGATTTTAACATATAATTCTCCAATTATGCACAAAGAGTTGAAAACAACCTTTGAATATTTGCAATTTTCACAATTACAATTGCTTTAATGAAATCAGAAGTATACTTCAAAGTTTTTGAGCTGGCCGATGACATTCGGTCATTTTTACACCTCCTGCCTTATAAAATGAATATTTTTAACAGTGGTAAGCACATTTCTGAGGCCACAAGCCTTGTTGAGAAGGACACTTGTGAATTAATTAGAGATTAATTTTTATAAAATTTTGATTTTTATAAAATAGTAAATGCAACACAATGTTTACTATTTTACCTATACCATTCACTGAAAGCATTTGTAACTTTTTGTGCAGTAAATACAATCCTTAATGATTTTAAAACTATTTTTATTCGATAAAGATATATTTCATGAATACACATTTTAAATTTTTTCTCCATCAATGCAAGTGCTCTATTTTGATGTCTCTACAATATCTGTCCTTCTATCTTGAAATTGGTAATCAATATAAATTTTTGTTATCACACTGCAAAATATAATATGTCCAAATAAAAGTGTTAACGTTCAAGAACGTGATTTTAAAAACAATTTTTATAGACAAATAAATATTGTGTTGCATTTATGCAATGTTGGGAGTGTCCTAGCAGATTTGAAAACAGCCAAGTTATATTATGGCACCACAACAAAAGGTTCATTGGAGCTCAGTATTTTGAAAGAGATGTAATATTAGGCAGAATATGCTCTCTTTGGGTTGTTCCATTGAGGGATATGCGAAAGAATAATCTCTATTGTTTTCTTGGCTCTAAATCAAGGCAAGGCATAGTTGTGCGTTCCTATATAAAAAAACCTTTGTGTGGTCTTTTGAAGATACAAATTGTGAAAGAAAGAAAGTTCTAAAACAAGTTTGAAGAAATAAAAAGATATCTACACATTTCAGTCAATAACACCCGAGGTAACTAATAGAAATTTGCAAAGTTGAGCCCATTCCTTGATGAAAGAACAAAAAATATTTGCAATCCAGAGGGTTTAGCCTTTTCAGTACGTATGAGCATAATTGGGGCGACACTTAGCTAAAACAAGAAAAATATGAGGTTGGGTTTCATTATGTGGTGCATATTAACAAGGAAAAAAATGATTTTTGAAACCATTTAATGTTCAAGGCAGGATATCAAAGAAGGCATGAGTGTTTGATTTTAGATGAAGTAATGTGCAACTTGACAAAAATTGTTAAAGAAAATAAAATACCACATCCTACTTCTTGGCAAACTTCTATAGTACCACTATTTTTTGTCAGTTATCAGAAGCAGAATTCTATGCACAAAGAATTGCGGCATCTGTGAGAAAAGGGCAGCAGACTGTTCGCTTTGAACTTAAAAAATTATGTCCAAACAAAAGTTATGAATGATTATATGAGAGAGAAGCATAATGAGATTTTGATTTGTTTGAGACCATGCTAAGTAAGGAATATTTACATACTAACAAGAAAATATACATTATTATATTGATTTTGAGTTCCAACTTTCTCTTCTTAAAAGTGAGGGCAACTACTAATAAAAATATAGATACTGGAAACCAAAATTGCAATTAGCCATCAAGCACAGTAAAAAGAGAATGAGAAAAACACAAAAGATCCATGTTAATTATATGAATTAGTATAGATAAGAATGCATGCAGACAACATAAGGTTTGTACGAATTGGACAATTTTGGAATATAAAAAAAATGTCAAATACTCTTAAATTTCTTTGGTTTTTTAGTACATCTTCATGAATAAATTTGAATTCCGTTTGCACATCAGTAAAATAATAGACATTAATTGACAAAATACTAACATTTCTTTAAAAACCGGTCAGTACACATCCTTTCAAGAAAATTCCTTATGTTGCATATACGCAACGCACTATCCAGCTTCAAACAATAATCAAAATCTTTTTTACAAACTGGTGTCGATATCATTGGAGACTTATTATCAATATTTAACTAAAATTTATTATATAAATTAAGTATTTCAATGTTTGGAAAGAAATGGGTTAAGTAAAATTTGTTCAGTACAAGCAAAAAATTAAACAAAATGATTTAGAGCCATACTTGAAACAAACGATAATGTACAAAATTATTCAAAACAACACACATTTTGAAAAAAAATTAATTACCCATTAGGAAGAGATCAATTGGTATATGTACAAGTAGACATGGGAAAGCAGGAAGACCCGAACTGGAAAGACTGACTAGAGAGCCAGAGCGGGTAACAAATGGGACAGCCAGGCTGGAATACTGATAGGTGCACTGGGTGACTAACAGACAGCACACTGGCTGACTGACGGGACAGACTAACCGGGATGGCCAGGAGAGCTCAAGACAGATGACCACACAAAGCAGGCAGGCAGATATCCGAAAGACCAATTAAACACACTGACAGACTGGTGGGGGATAAACACACCGAGGGGGGAGGGGCAGACTGGAGAGGGGCCACACAGACAGTGGGACAGGCAGACAGGAGAGGGTTGTACAGACAGACTGATAAACGAATAAATAGGCAGATAGGATAGAGACATTAAATTGGTATATTTTTTTTTTGAACCAACTTATTCTCAAAGCCTTATTTCCTATTATACCTGGAGTAATCCCTGAAGGGCCAGGAATGTGATGAGCAGGAGGAGTAGGGGCAGCACCAATACCACGAGTTGCCTCCTGCGTCAAATCTTTGAGCAACTCTTCCTTTTCAGTGCGCCTTGCAAAGCAGAAGTCTGATATCTTGTTTTGGAATACTACTAAGAGCTGAAACAGAAATAGTTGAAACATGAATTACTTGTTATCAAGTCTTTTTGTTGGCTCAGAAAGTAAGTGACAACAGCTACAAATCTTACATTAATTAGTGGCAATGGAAATATTTTGAAAAACAAAATATATTTTAAGAAATCAAAATTAATTATTGAAGTGGATTTTGTTGAATTGATAGCATAAGATATTTGTAAAACTAGTGGGGCTACAACAGCACAAACTGTCTTGTACTATTGGTAATCATTAAGCAATATTAAATTGCATCCTCTATCTCATTAACACTTTAGTTATTTCATGAAAAATTGTTATCAATACACCTAACTCAAAATTATGAGAAACTACTATTTAAAACAAATAGTGTACATTAAACGATTTAAAGACATTATATTAAGAAATAGACTGTGTTATATGTATAAAAAATAAATATAAAAAAAGTGTCTCTAGCTTCAATATAAAATTGAAGGAAAAATAAATAAAATAAAATAAAAAAAGCTTATGCAAATTTTCGCAAATGGCTTAGGAAGTATTTGAGCAAACAATTACAGGAGGAAAAAAAAAAATGGTGCAATTTTTAAGAACATTTTGATTATGCCATTGAGGCTTCATATAAAGATCCCACAAAATTGATGAACATTTTATGAACGGTTTAGCTGCTAGTGTTATTCACCAACACATCTGGAGATGGATGGATGGATGGATAAACAGAGAGAGGCATCAGAAATCTTGAAGTAATTTCTTTAGTTTTGTCGTTCCAACATATACAAAAAAATTAAAATTAAATAATCATATTGAAATGCTTCAGCCATACAGAATTTCTTTTTTCTCAAGTCAAATTTATATCCAAATTAGCAGATACTGCATTTAGTTACTTAATAAATGAGACTTGAGGTCCAAAGGACTTATCATGTGAAGAATACACTGAAGTACAGCAATATACATACCTCAGTAAGATTGTTGTAAAAATTTGTCCCTTCTTGAAGATTATTAAGTAATTCTATAAATGCATCATGAGCAGCAGCTAATTCTTTTAACACAGCTTCTCGTCGAGCTGCTCCTCCAGCATTTGACTTTTCTTTGCAGAACTCGCTATTAGCAGACTGAAATTATAAATAAATAAATAAATAAATTAAAAAACAACAACACTGGCAATCACTGCTCTCAAAGATAAAAATCTACTCTTAAATCCCATGTACTCTCCTTTCCCCATTCACTTCACCCCATTCACAAAGATTCAAGGAATTTTTAATGTGTATATCATTATGTGTATGTGTAATGTGTACGATGGTGTAACGTTTCGGACTGTTGTACCCAAGTTGGCGGGTTCAAACCCGATCGATGCCGTGGATTTTTAAAAGCGAAAAAATTCTTCGTATGCCTTCCTTTGGAGGGGAAGTAAAGCCGGCTGTCCCATGTTAGTAGATTTACTTGCATGTAAAAGATTCTCAAGCCTAAATGACGCCTCTGAGTTAAATTCAAATCGCCTGTTTCTCGCCCAAAAAATACCTCCTTTCTCTGCTAGTTAGTGAAAGGAGCGTAGCGAAATTTGCGTGATCAGACGGAAGAGCAGGCCTAATAATATAATTAACATTAATATAATAATTATTATTATGAATATTATATTATTATTATTATTATTATTATATTATTATTATTATTATTGTTTCTCAGGCCACATTATAATTTATAACTTTCAAAAGAATTGTAAATATTATGAAAAACTGTTTTCCATAGATTACTAAAATGACAAGTTTTATTTTATGAACTATCTTCTTCGTCATTGTTCACCTTGTACTCATTGCAAAAAAGAACTAACCTGGATATTAGCCACAAGAGTCTCTTGTCGCTGCACAGATTCAGCAACCTGTTTTTGTAAAGGGCCATACACCCGACCAAGTGTTTCAACAGATAAAGCTTGTTCATTAATTGCACCATCTTGTCCAAGTGCACTGAGAAACTGAGCTTGCATATCAACTGTAGCTGACTTGAGCTCGCTTTCTATTACATCCCTTTCAGCTTTCAGTGTTTCAACCTGTAATTGAAAGTAATTTATTAAATCAATTATCACAAGAATCTGGGTGGACTGTGCTGCTTACAAATTTAAAAATGAACACTGCATCAATTCAAGCATTTAAGTAATTCAATATTTCTCACTTGCATAATATGGTCTAATAGCCTTATATAATATGAGAGCATAGGCTTCCGCGGCCAGAGTCAGTATTTACTAGGCTGTCCGGGTGATGCCGCGTCCATATGGAATGGACGCAGCGTCACCTGGACAGCCTAGTAAATACTTATATAATATATTTAACTTTTAATTTTACAAAGGAAGCATACCAGCATACACACATGCATCTATGTACACCAATAACATTGTGAAATGTCACCTACGTATTATTACTAATTGGAGCAATTTTATCTACAAAGATTGCACTATTATAAATAGTCTCACAATATTAAAATATTGCAATTTCTACCCTACTAGCATCTCAGTTACGCCTTGAAAAAGTTCAATTCAACAAATTCGAATAAAGTGTCTTTGGTGCATATCAGCATTCATTTCGATTGTCAGGAAAAGTAGTCATTTCTTACTTTTACAAATAAAACAAACATGAATAAATTTAACTGTTACATTATTTTCAGCACACAATACAGAAAACCCAAGAATAATTTCACACAAGCTTAACTTGATTACATTGAAGTGTGCTTTCAATTTCGGAATACCATAATCAGCAACCAAATCATCATAAAGTACAAAGTGTGAGTTTGTTAGTTCTAAGTTATATTTATTAACTTTCATCACTCTCTTTCTTTTCGTAAGAATATTTTCTACATCATACAATCATTAGAACTAACAGCAATGGGAAGAATTCAAGGAAACTTGAAACGGCTGCATGGCTATTTTGCGACCAGACAGCCAACGTGTTAAACAAAGCTTGCAAAATTCAAATTTGCAATTCTGAATTATTTTGCAATTTTTGAAAATACAGAGAGTGTGCTGAAAAATGGGATCATTGCTACTATCCTTACAGTTCTTTGTTACATACGGGGGAAACATTCAAAGAAAAGCTTTGAAGCTGCTTTTGAGATCAGTGTCTAAATTGTTTCAAAAATGCTTACGTTTAATGCAAAAACTAATCATATTTTTGAAAAAGTTGAACATGACCTTACTTAAAAAATTTGGTTTTGGTGAACAGATTTCATTAAAAAATTCTTATTGTTGGGGCTTCATGTAAAGTACCCCCTAAAATTACATACTGGGGCCATGACATCAGCCAGATCAATTGGAGAATATAATGTTTGGTAAAAATCCTGCATCCAGTTTAGCCATTAGCATTGTTCATTGAAAGACAGATGGATGGTCAGGCTTTTTGCCATCAATCAACTTTTGGTACCAAGGGCTCACGAAACACGAATTCAGACTATACTTTGTGTTAGAGAAAGTAATGCACTATATACAGGAACAGGATTATTTATCCACTTTTTTGTTACCAGGGCCCAGCAATAAGAGTTTCTGTGTTGAATATGGCTGTTTTTCTTGAAGAATTACAATACTTACTCCATACTGTGTAAGCAGTAGCAAGAAAGTAAAAATTTCTATCTTTAAAATTGTACTTCTGCAATGTTAATTTTTTGCAATTGATGAAAATATGGGGTTACCCTAAAATGCAACCAGCACCACTTTCTAACTACATACAAGGAAATGTTGAAAGAAAAGAAATTGAACAATTTAAAAAAAGAAATTTTTCTTTTTTTAAAAAATTGCATTGACATCAAACAGAAACAATGCAAAAACCATTTTTTTAAAAATGATAATGATTTTCTAAACTCAATTTTTTGAACAAATTTCATTTCAGACAAAAAACTACTTTCAATTCGTATATTTGCAATTTTGTAAAATAAAGATGGTTTACTGAAAATGGGACAAGCACCACCTTTTAATTTCTTTGTAATCAGATCCAGAATTTCGATGATTTAAATTAAGTGATTTATATCATTGATTTATATAAAATAATTCACAACACAAAAAAATCCTTGATTTAAATCAAAAACATAATTGACTAAATTTTACAAAGAATGATTACAAATTTTAAGGTGATAAAGAAAAGAATCACAAATTATATCATTTAAAGTACTTATTTATTAATAAACAATGAACTATAATAGCTGCTATGAATTATTTAATTGTTTAGGATGGAAATTTAATTTTGTTGCTTATTCTGTTCCAAGGCAATTGCTATTTTTTGATTGGAAAAGTCCAACGTGGAAAAAATTTGTTCCTTACTAGCTGAAGATGCTGATGCTAATAAATATTGTTTTACAATGTCCATTTCTTTTCCTATAAATATTTTTTTACATGGTTTGCACACTTTTCTACCACTATGGTCATTTGTTCTTTCATAACTATCGGATTTAAAAATGTTTGAGTAAAAGAAGCTGTTTGCAATTCAAATTTCAAAATTTTTGTTACGAGTTCTACTCTAACATCATTGTAGTTAGATTATAAATATTCAAATTCTTGTTATTTTTCTAGTTTTTAAGGCAGAAGAGTATACAAGAGAAAATTTCAATGTTAACAAATACCTTATAAAATTACTATTAGTTACTGCTTGTTTACGATGTATTTTAAAAACCTTTAATTGTGAAGCATTTGAAATGCTGACAAATCATTTCTTTAAATTTTTCGTTAGTGTACTACATCTTCAATTGTACAAGAATTTCCTTGAACTTTGTCTAGTGCAATCGAAAATGATTTCACTGATCAATGGTTACTACAACTAAGTTACTTTAAAAAAGTTCTAGTAAAATCCTAAATATCTTGGAACTAGGTCAATGTGAGACAGTCTTTCTATTGAGCCCAGGGATTTTTGGTCCCTTTTTTCATATATCTAAAAATTTTCCTAATTGAATACATAAATTTACATCAGATTTAAATTAAAAACTTGATTTAAATAATTTTAAAAACTTGATCTAAATAATTTTAAAAACTTGATCTAAATAATTTTAAAAACTTGATCTAAATAATTTTAAAAACTTGATTTAAATTTAAAAAATAAGAAATTTTTAAATTTTTTAAAAATCATGATTTTTAGTAACCATGTCCTTTCACAAATACAATGACATGTACAGAGAAAATGGAGCCATTTTTGATTAATGCAAAATTATGTGCAAGCTACTCACATTTTTCTAAAATTGTACATGACCTTATGTCAAAATCAGATTTAGTCTTATCAGGGGAAATATTTATATATGGAATATTGTACTAGATGTAGGAGGTTACCAAAAAAATTTGAACTATTTACAAAGTTTTTTGTCAAAAAACTGTAATTTTCCCCCAAAAACATTAAAATACTTTCTATCTTTCTCAAAATGAAGGAAACCTTGATTCATATGAGGATAATTAGGATAGTGACAAAAAGCATGATTATGATGATTTTAAGAAACAAGAAAATGATAGTTCAGGCAATAAGTCTTAACATTTTCACCAACTGGTCAATAAACTAATTTGCAATTTAATTTTGTCTACGTAGTAAGAATTAGTTGAAAATTTTAAAAAAATTCTCTGACCGCCTCTTCAAAAATAGGGGGACATCTTATATTTGGGTAAATCCAGTACAACATATTACATTTATATATGAGTATAAGTGCCATCTTACTTCTTCCATTAACCGTCGCAGCTCTTGCACAGCAGCACTGTCGCGCACTGCTCCACCAGGTCCTGCACTTGGAACTGCTGCCTGCAACTGATCTGGAGAGCCACAAAGCAATTCCATACCCCTTTTGTGTGCATCAAATTTGTTTCGCACAACAGCATCTGCTGACACAGCATTATTAATAATCTCTCTATATTTTGCTAAATTTGTACGGAAAGATTCAGTAAGTCTCTCAGATGGTGTTCGTGACCAACGTTCCTTAAATTGTTCTCTCAGTTGATCATCAGACGACTTCTCTTCTTGTAATAAGCGGTCCGCCTAGAGCAGATAAATGCACTCTTTTAGAGAAATGAACAAGGTAGATATGTAAAAGAACAGCAATAAAATTCTATAATAAATTGTACCTCATCAAGAATATCTTTATTACGCTGAAGGAGTTCTGGCAATTCTGTAATAATTTGTTGCAGTTTCTGGACACCACCTCGTGATCTAACAGATTCTGCTTTATCAAGAAGTGACTGTGGTAGGCCTTCACCTGACTGGTCTTCAAGTGCAGCAGGTAAGTTCAGTGAAGCAAGAACACTAAAATGAAGTAAACAATTATATTTCCTCAATTTATGAACAATCAAATTTTCAGTCAATCATGATAATTATATCAAAGCATTTCTGAAATATCATGCCTACTAAAGTAGTAAATGAAAGGGAATTTTCGTTTATCTTTTACTTTGGGAATTACCAACAAACCAGCGGTGGGAATCAGCCTGTAATTTCTTGCACATATTTTCATGCAAAATTACACAAAAAGTACTTATATTCCAAGATCTCGTCTTTGTTCAGCACTCAAAATCAATAGCACAGCTTAAGTCTCACTCCCTAACACTTTGATTAAAATTAAAAATGAACATTTTAGAACAAGTAAAAAATATTTTATTAATATATCTTTCTGAAAATTATGATTTAAACAAAGTTTTTAATCGTCGCTAGTTCAAACAAAAATTGCACAAACCACTTGTGTTTTGTTTTTGTTTTACACAAAAAAACCTGTCATTAATTTGTACCTTTGTTCCTACTTTTGTCATTTTTCAAAGATGATTTGATTTTTTGAGATTTTTCAAAGATGAAAGTTTGTGTTCCCACTTTTGCCATTTTTTCCAACCTTTGTAAAATAAAAGATCGCCACACATATCCTTTTGATAATTGTATTTTATTTGTGAGAAAAAACAGGAAAAGGGGGAAGGAAGAAAGAAGAAAAAAAGTGATTGACAAAATAATAGTTATCAAATTGACTGTATTTCAAACAAAATTATGTGAAAACTACTCATTTTCAAAAATTGTACATTATTTCATACAAAGATCTGCCTTAGAAGAGGCGTTTTCATTTCGAAAAAAATGTATCTTCAATTTCGGTAATTGTAGGAAGATGTCAAACATTTTTCTGAACATTTGCAATTTTCGAATATTCTGAGTCAAATGAATAATGAGACCTGTGCCATTTTGAAGTACATTTTACACTATCCGAAGAAGTATTTACAATATATTACATGTGAAAGAGAGTGAAAAAAAAGCAAAATGGCATACACATCATCTGTTCCAGTGCGTTTACTACTAGTCCTCCAAAAGTTTAAAGAAAAGAAAAAGAAAAGATAAAGAAAAGATAAAGAAAAGAAAAAGAAAAAAAGAAAAGAAAAGTATAAAGAAAAGAAAAGATAAAAGAAAAGAAAAGATAAGAAAAGAAAAGAAAAAGAAAGAAAAAGGAAATAGATTTAAAGAAAAGAAAAGGGAAGAAAAAGGAAAAAGAAAAGAAAAGAAAAAAAAAAAAAATCGAAGGCAATTTTGAGAAAATATTGTTTAGTACTTGCCGCATATTTCATGCAATAGGATGCAAAGTTTAATGTATTTGAATACGGCACACACTCCAGCGCAACGAGTATATTAACAATTCATCTAAAAAAGTTCAATGTGAAAAAGTTATAAGTTTTTTGGTCAGTTGACAGATAATATTTTCTTTACCCCAGAAAAAAATTCACTCATGCACTGATACAAATAATTTTTTCAGTACCAGAAGCCAAACCACCAATAAAAGTTTTTGTCAAAAAAATGAATGATGTTTGGTGCAGAGGCCCAATGCAATTGGCAATACTTTCTCTTTATTATTGTAAATAATGAGTTGGTATTAAAGTAATGGTTATTTATATAAGTTTGCTGAAAAGTTGATTGTTTTTTTGCACGAGAGATTGGAGTTGTTGCATCTCATTCTGTATGTAAAATTCTTTCGCTTTTATACAATTGTAGAAAAAAATAATTCATTTCTTATTACGTTTTTAATAAATTAATTCTTATAAATTAACGCTGATTTGTTTATAATTTAAAAGTTTCAAATTTTATGGTTATAAATTTTAATATGCTTTTTGTGTCATCTTAGAGAACCCCTTCATCATTACTGAAGACTACATTCACTGCTGTCTACAACATGTATAACGAAACTGACAAAATTCCTGTCATTTCCTTTTGTGAAGTTATCCTTAAGAATAAGATTACAGAAAAAATAAAGTATCTTAACCTGATTTAAAATTGTGTTGGACTCCCGCAGTTTTGATATTTCTGCATTAACAATTCATTTTTGCGAACATCATAGGGCTGCCAAGCTTGGTGCACAGAGACTGGAACAAGTTGTCAAAAAGGTCTGCAAACCACAAGAAAGAAATTTTAGATGAAAACACTACAAAATTCAAAAACTTATAATAAGTTCAAAGACATATTTGACATCTGTCATTATGTTGCATAAGCTTTGTGCAAACACTACACCTTTTCAAAGTGTTTTGTAAAAGTTGAAGCATATTTAAAATCAGAAAAAACATTTCGAAAAAGTTCAAATTTAGGTAATTGTAAAAATATTGGAAAAATGTACATCTGGCTCCTTTCAGGTGTACGTAGACTGTTTCCTCTGTAGGTAGACTACTCTTCTCCATGTGGAAACACCCATCTGTCTATCCCACAGCACCGATGTGGATCGCGAGCCCATTTTAACATGTTCATACAATTTTTAGACAGGCAAATCTTGTCAGCCACACTTAGTGCAGTTTATAAGCAAGGGAGCCAGTGTCACATTCGGATGTTCACACTGCCAGCCCATACATCATCAAACTTGGTGTAATTAATGCTCACCATAATAATCCAAGAAGGAAAGGAATTTGAAAAGAGTTGAGTTGTGATTTTTGAGTACTGTAATGTATCCCATGCACAAACACAAGGTGATCAGGGAAATCAGACAAACCACATGTACTTGCTTCAGACAAATACCCTCCTCCACCATGAGCCCTACCCCATGAAATGATTAAGGATGGGGCCCAGAAAAGGCGACAGATGAAGGGGGAGAGCCACCAAAAGCCCTCAAACAAGCGGTGAAAGCCCACTCAGATGTAACAGGACCCTTGAATCTTAGATCTCTTGTACTACACTCATTTCAGCACTTGTCTTCATGTCGCAGCTGTTTGAGTTGTTGGTAAAAAGATACAAAATTATGGTTAATCTTGTGAGGAGTTCCACACCGCTGTTGTGAGCATATAACGAAGTGGTGCAACATTGAGAAACAACTCATCCATCCATTCATATCTTCCATCCACACATTAATCATCCATCTCAGAGGGCAGTGCTGGCTGCAAAGCATTATTTGGAGTAGACATAAGGCCACAAACCAGAAATTACTGAGGTATAATAGTGGTACCCAGGTAGTGGCACAGGATAATGAAATTCACTTGAGACAATGGAACCAGTCACCTGATTCATACTGATGGCAACACTTGCACGCTTGGATATATGCCTTCAGGCCATGGGCTCTTGGGTGCACTGTGGATGGATGAAGGCCAGAGGGGCGAACTGGTCTGAGGAGTTTACATGGCACACACTGTGGTCTATTATTCTAGTACAATATTCCCTTACAGTTATGTGGTATCTGTGTTTCTTGGAACGAAATCCCTTTTTTTATGTTGACAGTGTTCACTACTGATAATAGAAACTTCCAACAGGACAAAGCATCAGGCCATATTGCCAGGAATGAGACCTAGTTTGAGGAATATAATAGTAAATTTGCATTAATGTCCCATACTCCTAACAGTGCATGTATAAACCTCATCGAATATTAGTGATTTAACTTGAACTAAAGAAGAAGCAGATTCACACTAAATTACCCTGCATTTTACACTCTCTAGAGGGCCTCCTATTAAATTTCTGGTAACAAATGCAGCAGAATACCACTCACAACTTGCTCAATTTAACACCTCACACTGCTAGAATTTCAGCTTCACATTAAAGGCAAACCTACACTGATTTAACAAGGTCATGAAGTACTGGCTCACTGAAGTACATGTTATCACTAAAGTCCAATTCTGGCTAATTCCTGAATAAGCAAGTTAATATTTTCATTGTCCAAAAGGAGAGGAATAGCGGGACCAGCATAGCACACTTCAGACCAGGTGTATGAAACTGACATTAGTCAACACTATGTGACTACAATAGGACAAGTATTTTATGACGACTAGGAATAGCAGATAGGTGATCTGCAAGGATCACACTGCTAGTGCTATGTTTCTCAGGACTAGTGAGACAGGTAGGTATTTTCAAGTTCGACTGTTACTTTCTACTTACAACATACCATCTAATCACACTGTACATATAACTCAGTCAATGCTTTGCTAAATATTTCCTTACTTCAGGCAGCATCCTATGCTTAAAACCATCATTAGTCAGCTATCCAAAACGGCCAAAAAGGCCAAAACTGCTAAAGAGGATTATTCAACATCATTCATACAACTTTATCCATACCATCTGGCTAATGTGCCTATTAACTGTTTAAAAATTGTGTTGACTCCTGCAGTTTTGATATTTCTGCATTAACAATTTCATTTTTGCGAACATTGTAGGCCACCAGAGCTTGGTGCACAGAAACTGGAACAACTCCAAGCATTAGTCAAATTTTGAAATTTAGTAGATATTGATGTTGGATTATCTATAAGTCAGTTGGTAAAATTGCAAAATTCATAATGGGCCATTTCTTCAGTCAAATCCATAGCTAACTGTTTTCAGTCAAATCTGTAGCTAATATGCTAGTCAACAAACAAGTATCGCTTCTGCCGTCTGTACATAATTTTGATTTGAAAAATAATTTGATTGCCTACCCTTGAAATTCTGACTAAAATGTTCAGGCAAGGGGAGGGCTTTGGCAAGCTGTGCTTTTGGCACCGCTGACAGGCTCTTCACATCTGGTATTCGCTCATGATAAATAAAATCATTATCCTTTTTGGCTTCATTTAAGTTTCGTTGAGCTTTTGTAGCATATTCTTGAAAGCATGTGGGTTTCCCAGATCTCTGTTGGGCTGCTTTAAATAGTTCCAAAGAATGCTAGAAAATAAACAACAATAAGCCATCAGTTATTGGAAACATGACAAAACTTACAAATTTCCCTAAATTTGTAAGACAGTTTTTCTTACTTCTAATCGTGCAATTTCTTCTCCTACTTCTTTGTTAGCCTTGCACACAAGGCTTTGATAATAATGTGTAAGAGCTCGATATCCAGCTTGCTTGCCTGCAACCTACAATTTGAATTTGGTTATTAAAGTACTTGCTTGTCATACGCAGTACTTACTAAATAACGGAAACAGTCATACCGTAGGAATCCAGTCTTTGTCCCAGAGTGGTCTCAGATTATCTTTCTGAAATACTTTGAGGACTTCTGCATAAAGTTCTTCACACTGAGAGCACAATTTTGCAACAATTGTATCCTTCATGTGATCTGCGAGAGAAAAAAAGAGAGAGAGAGACAGAGAGAGAGAAGCAAATAAAAATACATCATATTACCCAAAATATTCACTTTTTTTAAGAAAAACTCACCATTAATTGCTTTTAGTACAAATATTTCTTGACCTTGTGCTAGCATGAGAGCTGATAAAGCTCCAAGAGTTTCAGGATTTAAATCAGGAGTTGGTTCTTGTTGAATTGCCAACATTACTGTCCCTTTTAAATGGTTGAGAACTCCAGCTGCTTGCTACAAATTACATAATTATTTGCACAAGTACATTATTCAATGAGAAGTTGGTATGATTCTTGAATTGCACAGTTTGTAATTCAGTGACAAGAAAGAAAAACACACACACACACCAGCAAAGCACTCTTCCCATCTTGCCCAGAAACATATATGAACAAAAATATATTATTTCTTTACTTTTTCTCTTCCATTTTAAAATTATGGATTTGAGTAGAATTAACAATTGTCCAAGACTCAACACCACTTAAAAGGAAAGGCAACTTCTTAACAGCATCCTAATTGACGAATCATTTAACCTCTTTTGCGCTGCAAAGGCTTCTTGTTGGGTAGTTGAGTAAATCGGGTAAGACAGAGGAATTTTTCAAGATTACAGCTCCCTAAAGAAGTTTGATGTCAAGTGCAGAACACATTGCCACAAATAGCATCTGACCAAGAAAGGCAACTTTTACAAGATTGCAGGAGATTAAGGGGTTCTATACAGCTACTGATGTCTACAAATTAATCTTAAATTTAGACATTTAGACTGGTTTAGAAGATCAATAACCAGAACTTGGACCAATCTTAAGACTCCAGCACAATAACCAGAAGCTTGAGGTGTAAATGTATGAACTACACATCACTAGGGTCATATGAAACTGGTCAGTTAAGCTGTCATTATAGTAAGGAATACTTGCAGTTCAACTCAAGCTACAATTTCAACACACAAAAATCTTTGAAAAATAATAAACTTGATATCTTGAGAATAAACAAGATTATGTTTCCAGTAACTGACCAGCTCAGAATATATTGAGAAATGAGTTATTATTCTGAGGGTACTATGGACCAGAAAACTCTTCCAGATTTATTGTCAAACTACATCATCAGGATGGAAGAAAAATGGAACTTGGACTACGAAAAAGCTTGTATGTACCCTTAAGCAATTAGTTAATATTCTTGTTGGCAATAGCTCAGAAAATTCACAGAAGTGGACAAGTGCACACATACCATACACTGATCATCAAAATCTGTAAGGGCACCTTGGCTAATTCATCAACAAGTGCAATACATATTTGTGACATAATAGATCAGCATCATAAAGAAAATAAATGGGAGGGGGGAGGCCATTAAAAATTATACATATTTAATTGATTGTATTACTTTATTAATGAACAACAACTATAGGCCCATTGTCCATAACATATGGTTAAATACAAAATTTACATTAAAAACACCATATTTTGACAATCAATATTTTGCCTTCTTTGGACAATAGACCTTAGAGTAAAGAAATAAAAATAAAATTTGACCATTATAAAATCACATCACAGTAATTTAACTTTTATTTATTTTAATTAAAACTTGTATTTCAACTTTCTGAACTTGGGCTTGGGAACCATATAAGATGTAGTTCATTGGATTTGGATGTTTAGGAATATGCATGTAATTTGAAACCTAGAATATGCAGCCCAAACTCATTTGGCAACCAGAAAGATATCTTATGAGCAGCGCCGTGGATTTGTATGCAAATGCATATTTTTTGTTAGTTGTTACTTGGAAACTGATTAAAGGAGAAAATGGCAATAAATTATTAAAATCAAACTTTCTGAAATTGGTGAATTATGATTTATAAATATTTTGGTTTGGGACAGCTCACCGGTCACCATTAAGAAGTGAATATTCTGTTAGCCACGAAACTGTTGACAATGAATGTAGATATAATGTAGTTCACTTGTACAACGAGGGCAACCAAAAGATTGAATTTCAGATGAGGGTGTGTGTGTCATTGCACTCGGTATCCTGGTCTCTGATGAAACCTAAACCCATTATAGACAGTGTTTTCCTTATCTGTCAAGAATCATTTTTCAGTAAGCAATACTAGTGCAAGGGCATCACCACTTCATGCGCTCGCTGGCCATGAGTAGAGCCTACCAAAGAAAGATCTCATGTAGCAACAACACATACTCTTGGGCATAAACAACATACAAAAGTATCTTGACAGAGAAACTAGATTTTCAGAAACAAATTTAGAAAAATATCTTGTCATAAATTTTAATAATTTTTTTACCTAAATATACAATGTTCTTTATTGAACAAATTTTATGTCCTCTTTTCTTAAATCTCCTTCCTATTCCTAAAGATTAGGGCATTAACAAATGCACTCCAATTACAGTAAATTAAATAAAATTACTAAATAAATTTAATTGTAAAAGAAATGTTTCTACCGATAATTTTTTTTCATGGTTCAAACATGCAATACCATCGTAACACAATTCCATTTTTCTACAAATATTATGCATTGTGTTTTAATAATAAACATTTAGTACTTCCTTGTGAATCTTACACTGCATATTTTAAAGATTTATTGCGCATATTGATTGATTATCTAGTGATTCCAGGCACGTCAGCTACCAGAGTCATTAGTCTCGTAAGTGTAATGTATTATTTGGGGGGGATTGGAGGTGGCAGTGATCTTGCCCCTGCTGTATGGTGAGATCCTGCGCCGACCTACCATCGGCTAACAGGGCACCGCCCCAACCAGTCAACTCCCACTAGCAGGGCACCGCCCCAGCCAGGACAAGCTCTCAGTTCCTTATGGGTCTCCTGGCATGTGTGGTAGTGTCGTGTAGTGTTTGAGTGTGATGTGTGATGTGAGTGTGTGAGTGTTGTGTGAGTAGGGGTTGTGTGCTGAGTGTGTGGTGTGAGTGTGAGTTGTGTGTGTGAGTGTGAGTGTGTGTGGAGTGTGAGTGTGTCAGAGTGTGAGTGTGTCAGAGTGTGAGTGTGTCAGAGTGTGAGTGTGTGTCAGATGTGTGGTCAAGTGTGAGTGTGTCGATGAGTGTGAGTGTGATGTTCAGAGTGTGAGTGTGTCAGAGTGTGAGTGTTGTTGGATGTGTCAGAGTGGTGATGTGTCTAGATGTGTCAGAGTGTGAGTGTGTCAGAGTGTGAGTGTGTCAGAGTGTGAGTGTGTCAGAGGTGAGTGTGTCGAGTGTGAGTGTCTGAGTGTGATTGTGTCAGAGTGTGAGTGTGTCAGGTGTACGTGTGTCAGAGTGTGAGAATGTGTCAGAGTGTGGGGTCAGAGGTGAGTGTGTCAGAGTGGAGTGTGTCAGAGTGTGTGAGTGTGTCAGAGTGTGAGTGTGTCAGAGGTATGAGTGTGTTCAGAGTGTGAGTGTGTTCAGAGTGTGAGTGTGTCAGAGTGTGAGTGTTCAGAGTGTGAGTGTGTCAGAGTGTGAGTGTTCAGAGTGTGAGTGTGTCAGAGTGTGAGTTGTGTCAGAGTGTGAGTGTGTCAGAGTGTGATGTGTCAGAGTGTGAGTGTCATAGTGTCGTGAGTGTGTCAGTGTGTGGAGTGTCAGGGTGTGAGTGTCAGTGTGTGTGAGTGTCAGTGAGTTTGAGTTCCAGTAGTGTGTGATTCCGTGTGTTGAAGTGTCAGTGT